CAACTTCCACGTTCATTTGAATGTTTGTCAGTTGTCGCAAGGCTATTATTTCAATTGGGATGTGTTTGTCACATGGCTATTCTTTCCTATTTTGTCTTGAACGCTAGTCTCTTGTCAATTGTTAGAGTTTGCTTGGCAAATGTAGTGGCTACTTTGTCTTGTTCTGGAAATCAGCTATCAAAACAAGACAACCGTTGCTGAAATACCGCTGCGGTAATTCCCAATGAAGTGATTCCCAAGGAAGCTTGCTAAATAGAAGTGTCGGTGATGACCGAATACAGTTACACAACTTTATTACACTTAGTGTCGGTAAAAACCGGATGATATACCTTCAATATGTTATAATGTGTACAGCTTTTGTTAGTACAGGTGAAGTGAATCCCAGTAAAGTGTTTTCCCAGGAACCTCCCCCAAATAGACATTTTTCACTCATTCCGCATCAGCTCATAAATACTGAATCAAGTTCAGCTGACATTCAAAAATCTGATGCTCACTTCTTTTTGTAAAAGTTCCTTTTGCTGTCCTTCTTCGTAGTTTTTTTCTTTTTCTCTTGGGTTGTGGCCTCCTGCTTCTTTGTCTCAGGGACAGACGCCTCTGTGCTCCCCTTCGCAGTGTCCTTGTCTCCCTCATCGTTGCTCTCACGCTCATCACTGCTGGTGTTGTTGTCCTCACCTTCGGACTCTGGCCACTCACCATTCTCCTTTTTCTTCGCTGTCACAGCTGTGACAGCTGCCATCACAGCCAACATGGTAGGGCTGAGGCGGGTGTTGCTCATATCACCCATCATAACAGAACCGTCCGACATGATGCTAAAGCCTGAAGGAGGAGCCTCCATGAGCACAGGGGTGATGGAAAACACAGGGCACTTGAACTTCTGAACCAAACTTCAGAAAAGATGTAATATACATTTAGAGACAGGGAGTGTCAGTAAAAACCGAATATCTTTATTTTCCTTATATGTATATTTTGTTTATAGTCTCGGTGAAGACCGAATATGTTTCTGTTTACCTATTTTTATTTTGTCGGTTAAAACCGAATATATACAGTGTCGGTGAAGACCGAATATGTTTATGTTTCCTTATTTCTATTTTGCCGGTTAACACCGAATATATACAGTGTCGGTGAAGACCGAATATGTTTCTGTTTCTTTATTTTTTTTGTCGGTTAAAACCGAATATATACAGTGTCGGTGAAGACCGAATATATAAAATTTCATAGGACCGAATGCAAAAAACGCACGTGATTTTCTCATTCCGCTTACCATTGTCGAAATCGGTGAGACGGTTTTTTCTCAACGCCGTGAAGGAAGAGCCACCTTTGCCGCCTGCTCATCCTGTACCAGCGCTCTGGCCCATGTGGCCACCAAGGAGGCATCTCAGAGCCGTTGGGATTCACTGGGAACACCCATTGCTGGTTGGCCGCTTGCTGCTCATTGCTCTCCCATTGCTGGTTTGTGGCTTGCTGCTCATTGGTCTCCGGCACCCATTGCTGGTGCTTGCTGGACGAACTTGTCGTGTCCGTGTTCTGCTTGCTGGTCGAGCTGGAGGAGCTTGTTGTTGCTTCCGCTTCTTTTGCCTTTTGCTCTGAAGACTGTTGGAACTCCAGGACTGCTTCGGTGAGTTTCCTGGTGAGTTCTTCGTCAGACATCTCGGTGACTGGTGGCGGCAACCTTTGCCTTTTCCTTTGTGAGCGCCACGGAGGTGTAGTGGTCGCTGCCTCCTCTATTTTGTTTTGCTCCATGTTGGCTTCCTCCATGTTCTCTTGCTTCACATCCATGTTGGGTTTCTCCATGTTCTCTTGCTTCACCTTCCCCTGCTCCGACATTTCTTCTGCAGCCGCCCATGCATCGTAAAAGTTCAGCTCCATCGGCGCGGGTGCTTGATGATTGGGTGATGAGGGGTTTCTAGTCCACCATATAGTGTTGGTAATGAATGATGACTGAATACATTAACCTGATGTATTTGTTTGAAAAGTTCTTTTTGTTTAGAGTCCGTGTATTGAGTCAATGCAGTGCTTTAGACTCACAAATTGTGGAGGTCACAAATGTGTGCACTAAATGAATTGTGAGGTTTGTTCAGCTTCTTTGTTCAGCTACGCGCTTTATTGAGCCTCAGTGGCCTGGTTTCATCAATAGTCTACTGAGATTTGCGTAGGATAAATCACATCTGTGTTTTGGTACTTGTCGGTGATGACCGAACTACTTGTCGATGATGACCGAACAGCATATATATATATATGTTTATTTATTTAGTGTTATTCGGCACCTGTGTAGCTAGACAACTTTACTATATTTAGTGTTGGTTAAAACCGGATGATACCTTCAATATATTATATACCCTTAGTACATATATACCACCATATACTACCATATACCACCCATATACCACCCGTATACCACAAATATACCACCCATATACCATCCGTATACCACAACTACCATCCATATACCACCCGTATACCACCCATATACCACCCATATACCCCATATACCACCATATACCACCATATACCACCATATACCCCCTCATACCACACCACACAAGGTGATACATCTTTTTCGCTCATTCCGCATCAGCTCAAAAATCCTGAATCAAATTCAGCTGACATTCAAAAATCTGATGCTCACTTCTTTTTGTAAAAGCTCTTTTTGCTGCCCTTCTTCGTAGTTTTTTTCTTCTTTTTCTCTTGGGTTGTGGTCTCCTGCTTCTTTGTCTCAGGGACAGAAACCTCTGTGCTCCCCTTCGCAGTGTTTTTGTCTCCCTCGTCGTTGCTCTCACGCTCATCACTGCTGGTGTTGTTGTCCTCACCTTCGGACTCTGGCCACTCACCATTCTCTTTTTTCTTCGCTGTCACAGCTGTGACAGCTGCCATCAAAGCCAACATGGTAGGGCTGAGGCGGGTGTTGCTCATATCACCCATCATAACAGAACCGTCCGACATGATGCTAAAGCCTGAAGGAGGAGCCTCCATGAGCACAGGGGTGACGGAAAACACGGGGCACTTGAACTTCTGAACCAACATTCTATGGGGAATCATCATCAAACATCTTCCCAAAAGAAATACTTAGCGGTGATGACCGCAGCAAAGAACACTAAGTGTTATTCACGAGATTGTTTCAGCTACAGCGTGGGCTGTCTATCTGCCAAAACACACGGAGATGTAGTTGCTGAACAACAAGTGAACATGATGAGTCCTTGTTTAGAGCAATTCCAAAAACATACAAGGAAGAGTTGCTGCACCTCCGTGTGGACACCAAATATGAACTTCGGTCCAGCCACTAGCATATGCTGTACCCACAGAATTAAGTGAATTAAACAGAAAGCATTTTGGGCTTCAGTCGACATCCTCGCCGCCGCCCCGCTGACTCTGCTTGGCAGCATCAGCAATCCGAGCAATTTGGCTACTGTCCAAGCCGCCATTCATCATATTGTCCATGGACTCCACACACTTCAAATGTTTCTCCAGGGACTTCTTCAAATCCTTCACAACTTCCTCGGTATGCTCGAACACCAAAGTCTTGGGGACTTTGTCCTTGTGATTGTCCTGAACCTTCTTGCACTGCTTCAGAATGTCCTTGGCGCCTTTGATCTCATCCTTGAAGTCATTGGATGCAAAACGGCTCTTCGAAGCCTTGTTGCAGGACTTCACCAAGGGTTCCAACCATCCCTGTAATTTTCTGCACAACCTGGCAGTCTTGCCATTCTCCTGTCTGACGGCCTTCAGGTCTTCAGGTGACATGGTGTTCTTCACCTTTGCCTTACTTTTCCCCTTCTGGGAAGTGCACTTCTCATGCACGTGAATCACCTTGGTCTTGCCGCCCTCGTCAGAACTGATGCTCATCCAGTCATTGTCTTCATTCTCTTCCTCTTCAGCTTCTTCAGTCTTTCCTGTGTGTTGCTGTAGTGGTGTATAATTCGGTAATCTTCGTATGGTATAAATAATGCGGTCATGACCGCTGGCGCAACAAAACAAACACATGAAGAAAGGATCGAACAAATACTAAGTCATCACAGGTGCGTTTCTTGGGCGCAACCTTCCTCTGTGCACTCATGATGCTCTCCCGCACGGACTCCTCGACATGACTGAAGTTCAGCTCCAGGATAGGGACCCGATAGACAAAGCCGAAAAGGTCCGAAGGTTGACGCTCAGCGCGCTGTTCTATGGCAACAATGTCGAATCCCTTCTTCTCCCAAACTGACAAAGGGAGGTACTTTCCCTTCACAGCAGTCTCCTGGGTCTGTCTCTCAATCTCCGTCATTTTGCGGATCAGGAGAGCTTGGATCTTTCCAACTGTCAGCTTGTCACCAGAAGCTGTGAGCTGCTTTGCCTTGAGAAAGAAATCTGTCTGCTCCTTGTCTGACAGGTCGCGGAAGGAAATCTTGGTCATGTCCCAGCGCTTGTACAACATGGTGACTGTGTTGTGGCACTGACGGCAAGTAAGTTTCGTCCCTGAGGTCTTTCCCGTAACCCTGCCAACAGGTGTAGCGGTCACAGGCATTTTGCACTTGCTGCAGTACTCGAGCTGGGAGCGTAGCTTGCGCAGTTCGTCCCATGTGCAGCTTTCAACTCCAAGAGCCTCAGCTGGAGCGGCTGAAGCCGCAGGACTTGCCACAACTCTGCCATCAGAAGTTTGAGGAACACGCACATCTTCAGGTTGTGACTCCTCCACCAACTCAACAGGTGTGTTCGGATACTGTAGAGTCTCTGGAACGCCTGTCTCCTCTAACCCTTCTTGGTTGTCAGGCATGAGGGTTGGGTCCATGGCCATAGTTGGAAGGTACGAAGGATTGCAGAGCCTATATATCTGATAACGGTTTGACAAACAATGCCTGTATATCTAACAAACATGTCCAACAGTACAGTCTTCTATATATGAGACACCTCCAACGGTACGTACCGTATGCATGGCAACGCAAGCAAACCTTTTGCTTTGTTTGAAGGCAGTCGTGTTAACCATTCCAACACGGCGAGGGCACAGATATGTAAGTAGCTGTACAAGGTCATGTCAGTGATGACCGGTGCTCAAAGTCCCACCGATCGGCTGCTTCCATGTGAGCACTCCTGGCAAAACATTTGGCCTGCTCTTTACACAGGCCCTCCTGAATTTTCAGATTCAGGATTTGATGGTAAGCGCGACTGGCCACATTTTTTTTGTCCATTTTCAACGCTGGTTTCTCTTTCTTCTCCATCTTGCCAACTGCTGAAAGCTTTTGCTTGTGTGCTTTGTCAGCTTTGCCTTTTGGACCTGACACAGGCTCTTTTGTTTGTGTTTTTTTTGCTTTGCTGTCTTTCCCTTTCAGGATTGACTTCGGCTCCTTTTGTTTCTTCGACTTGTTCTCATTCCCTTTTGGAGGAGAGGTCTCGTTTTTTTCAGTGTGAGCTTCAGCAGCTGGCACTGGCCTCTTCTTAGCCGTTGTTCCATTGGAATCTTCACCTAGCTTGTGGCTGTCCTTGACGCCATGGTAGGCAGACTTGAGATCCAACAAGGTCTCTGCCACACTCTTTTTCTTTTGGAGGTGACCTTTCACTTCTGTCAGTTCTGTCTTCAAGCTGGAGAACAACTCTGGCTTTGCTAATGAAACCAGGTTCTTTGAAGCAGACTCCCCAGAGACAATGGACATCGCTTGCTCCTGGGAATCCACTCGGCCATCTTCAATCGGAAGTATTTCGGGTTGATTCTGGAAAGATGATTCGCTTGTATGCGGCCCATCAATTTGCCCCAGCCACTTCATGAAGACATTCTTGCATGACTGAGGATTGATGTCCGAAGCACTGCTGCGAACCTTGAAGGAGCGGACAGCGTCTTCCAACTCAGGGGTCACCTGCCTTGGTGAACCTATGCTTTCATCCTCAAAGACCCTTTTATGTGAAGGTGGCAGCTCAGAAAAGACTGGTGGCAACTGAGGCAATCTCATCTCCACATTCTTGGCAACAGAACCATATTCCTTAAGCAACCCACGGATCTGTGCCCTGCAGCCTTGCAAAATCTTGTACCTTTCAGTTGCCGAAATCTTCTGATGCTGCCACTCCTTCCAAAAAAGGATCACTGTCAAGACTCCAACCGTCTTTTCAGTGGGGCAAATCAAACCCAGCTTAGCGGCAAATCCGCATAGCTCATGTAGCCTTGTTGGGCCATGACCATTCAAGCGCTGCCAAACACTGTCTGGCACAAACCTGAAAATGGTGCTGTAGTCCTGGGCCTCTGTGGAAGGACCTCCATTGCCCCCATGGCGCCTATTAGCGCAGGCTTCAGCAACCTTCTGCAGCAAGCGCTCAACATTCTGCGAACTAAACATCGAAAGCTTTTGCACCTGCTCAGCGGCCTTGGTGCATTGTTCCTCATTGAACTTGGCAGCTTCCAAAAAGATCATCAACTTGTCGAACTGCTGCTGCTCGATGGTGAGGAAGCTCGGCAGCCTCTTGACATTCGCCAAGAAGCAATCTGAAGCGCGAAGCTGCCTCAGAAACTCAGCAATCTTCACAGGTGGCATTCTTCGAGCTTCGAACCAGGAGGCTTGCACAACAATGCAGCCATCAAAACATTTCGACCATTATATATACCATTATATTTATCATTATATATACAATTATATACATGCACATATATACACTGCGGTCAGAACCGCTCAAAACCCCTGCGGTAAGGACCGCTCAAAACCCCTGCGGTAAGGACCGCTCAAAACCCACGCGGTAAGGGCCGCTCAAAACCCATGCGGTAAGGACCGCTCAAGCAAGCACACTGTTTTTCTTCCAGGTTCTGTTGACCTTCGTTTGTTGTATATGCTACGCGAAACTCCTATGGCAACAAATACGTTTCCATCCAATTCAATACTTGCTGAAGGTCAAGTAATTGCTGGGTGGCTTGTAGGTCACCTTGACGAGTCGCTTCTGCGTGAAGCTGGGCCAAGACCTTGTAGAATATCTTTTATTCACGCACCATGCTTTCCAGCTGGTAAGGGTTGATCTTCCTCAAGCCCTGCATGTTGTCATGCTTCCTTGGGCCCATGCCGCTTCCATCGATGTTGCCCCCTTCAGTCAGCCCGCATTGAGCCAGCGTCATAGCAACCCAAAAGTCCTCCAAGAAATCAAAAGCAGGCTCTGCTCCAGCTGCTTGGCAACATGAACGGCAAAATTCACGCGCAGCTTCATGATCTTCTCGTTGCTCTTCTGTCAAACATCGCCGGGCCTCGATGAGGAAGGCTGCAAACTCAGATACCTTCTGCATTGCTGGTATCTATAGAGACTCAAGTCAAAAGCTCGCTGCGTCTTGAGTCGCGCTGCTGCAGGTTTCACAATATCATCGGTCAGAACCGAAGTTGCAAACAAACGACATGAATGTTACTGTTTTTTATATTTATATACGCTGTGAACACCGCGCCGTGTAAAAAAGGTGTGTGTGAATAATATAATATGTGTGCTGGTGCTGACCCTCATGAGGACATACCAGTTGTTCATACGAAGTATGTGAGACATAGTTACACACATTTTTCACACAATCTATTTTTGAAAATATGGATTCCTGTCAACTTTTTTCTAGCTATGAACATGTAGGGAAAACAGTTACTTCTACAGTTTTTGTAAAATTTCATAATTTTTTGTAAGTTTGTTTTTCGAGTTATGTAACTTTTGTAAGTCTAAACTAATGTGACTTATAAATACTTAGTAAATCAAAAGTGACACCTAAGTAGTGCATGGACCTGGGCCAGAAGTACATGTACAAGGAGAAGTTCACGATGTAGCACAGCCTGAGCACGAGGGAGAAGACCTGAAATCGGCGCAAAGCCACAAATTGGTGTAGATGTCGATGTTGACGTCGAAGTCATGGCGGAAAGGCAGTAGGAAACACGGGATCGAAACGAACAGTCGTTAGTGCTAGTGAGCCGAAGGTACCATAGGAAAGAGAAATAAAGACAGTCAATACAATACAAGAAGGAGACAGTGAAGATAATTGTTAAATCATAAAGTGAAGTATTTTCCTCAGCAAAACGGAGTGGTTCGGTCGGTGAGAAGCCGGCTAAAGTCTGAATCTCCGCGGAGGTGATCGTGACCGAGAGGGCGAAGAAGAACGTGGCATCCTCGTCAAGGTTGGAGGCGGAGCCGAAAAACTCAGAGAAGGAGGAGAAGGAGGAGGCCACAGGTGGAGAAGGAGGAGAGGGAAAGAGGGTGAGAGAGTGTCTGGAGGAAGAGAAGGATGGAGGGGAGGAACCTGGTTGGCCGACAGGAGGTGGAAATGCCAAAGTGGAGCAAAGTGCATCTGCGTAGACCAATGTAGTACATGTAGATCGTCGAATCTGTTCGAGGCTTGTCTCCAGTGCGCGAAGGGTAGTGCTGAGACGAGGGCAGGTGATCGAGTCCACAACGGAAGGAGTGACAGAGTCAAGAGGTCCTCGTAGAATCAAAAGAATCAAGTGTAGAGAAGAATGTATGTGGAGGAGTTCACGATGAAGTACCTCATGCGCAGCAGTAGGTAAGCCAGCGATGGAGGCCAATCCCGTAGATCTGGTTGGTGGCGTCGTCGTCGGCATTGATATGGCGGCGCACAGGAGCGAGGAAGACGAACTCGAATGGCGAGGTATAGGGCGTGAGAGGAAGCTGAGAGCCACAAGAAATAAATGTGTAAAGTTGTGAGAAATTGTCTCGAAAAGGAGCAAAGGAGCCAGTTGGTAACAGGAAGAACATTTTCGCTCGAGAGTGGAAGAGTGAGTGAAAACTTCTAGAGATTTCTGGAGTGTGATCGAGGGTGAGACCGAGAGCGTGATGGTGCTGTACTGGATCGGTTAATCACAGGTCGAGGCGGAGTGCGAATGGTAGGGGTCCTCGGTGGCGAAATCGGTGATGTCGCTGGAATGGAACTGCTAAAAGTCACACTTCGAGATGTAGTCAGGCCCAAAGTAGAAGCAGGAAAGGATGGAAGGCGGGGGTCAGGGAACGTCGAGCGTCCACGTAGTTCGGCATCAACTTGAGTAGTGTCGCAATTTAAGGCATGCATCATCCCAAAGGTAGTGAGGAGTTCCTGGATATAGTGCACACCATTGTGGATGGCTTGGGTCGCCTGTCGGATCGCAGAGTCCAGACCTCGAATTTGAAGCTGAATATGTGGTGAGGTAATGTGATCCATAAACGTAGGGCTGAGAAAGGCGAAGCGAGTGCGTAGGCGGGAGATGGCGAGAATCAATAAACCATGTAAATGAAGAATCTCTCGATGTAGGATAGTCTGGGCCCTCATCGTGATGCCGTCCACAGGGTTGAGACCAGTCGGAGAAGGGAACATGGCGGGAGGAGGAGGATCAACTGAAAGACTAAGGCTCCAACAGGTTCCAATGAACCTAAAACTGGCTTTGACCGCTCTGGTCACCTTGTGCCTTGCCGAAATGGCTGGCTGCTTTGACCGCTGCGGTCACGTAAAGGCATGAGCCAACTTGGTATTCCAAAGACGGGACAAAAATCATCGTACGTACGGCCTAGGCCACCTACGCTCGCTGCGAGCTGCTCTGTATCCAGGCAGGGGATGCGTTGGACATACACCCGTTCGACGGGTCCACGGGAGGCACTCTGCGGGCTCATCCCGGGTTGGCACGAAGCCAAACACACTTGAGATATTGTGTACTGAACTGAATGCGGTGCCACACGCCGGCCTAAGAGACCCAAATCCTGAAAAACCAGGTGAAGGGGACCAGAGTTCCTGTAGTTAAAGGCCACGAACCGACGAGGCGACAGGTTGACGGCGTTCCGCTCACGTCTGCAGCTCAAGGAAAAAACCATCCAAACGTCCAAACATCGAGGTTCTTGGCTTAGCCTCGCGCCATGCAGAAAACTGGAAAATTTGCAGGTACGCAGTTGGACGTCTCCAACTGTATCACAGGTGCATGATGAGTGTCTTTGTTAGCACCGGTCTCATCAGCACCCCCGGTGCCCCCTGCACTAAAATACCAAAAGCGAAGAAAGTCCACATCAAATCCAACGGGATCCCTCTGATTCCAAGGGTTACACACTTATGGATAGGCGTACTGATTTGACAGCGGTGCCACTTGCCGGCCTAGGTTAAAAAACCTTAGGAAACGAGGTAAGTTAAAGTTAAAGTAGAGGCCATCGCTAGAAGTTGGAGGTCAGCACCTACGTTTGGAGGCCCAAGCAACAGCAAGCAGCAACAAGCAGCAGCTATGCCCACCCCAACTCTGCTGACTGGATAGGAAAGCATCCAGCCAAGCAGAGTGGACGCGCCGGCCCTAAGGGCAGCCGGCAAGCCAACTACTAGAAAGGAACCGCAAATAGGAAGAGGCCATAGTGACAAAGTTAGAGGCCTGCGCAATAGGTTGGAGGGCCCAAAGACACAAGACAGCGAAAAACACAAAACAAAACCGAAAAAACATCAAGATTTGCGCGTGTCATTCCTTTCAACTACAACAACGTGGTACACTGCAAGATTTGTGCGTTTCATTCCTTTCAACTGCAACAACAAGGTTTGCGGTTTGTGCGTTTCATTCCTTTCAACTGCAACAACATGGTACACTTCAAGATTTGTGCGTATCATTCCGTTCAACTGCAACAACATGGTACACTTCAAGATTTGTGAGTATCATCCAGCAAACTTCAAAAGAAGCCCTATGACTCCAAGGGTTACACACACACGCCTCCCCGAAGGGAGGCATGTGTGGCCTCCATCCTGCCCGGAAAGGAGGCAAGGCACATGTGCACGCAAAAGTGACAGATGAACATGAAAAGGACAAGACCGACGAAAAGTGTGCGTGGTTGCCGATGAAGAAGAACCAAGTGAAGAGGGACAACCGATGAGCCGAACCTCATTGTAGCAAACCTGGGCCACCTAAACCTCGTTGTAAGTGAATACGCGTGCGTGTATGTGTACAAACTAAGGTCGGGACGATAGTGCGCGCAAGAGAAAGAAAGGATGAGGGTGAAGAGACGTGAAGACAGAACGGCATGAAAGAAAAAAGGGAAAGCGTCTGTGGGGGCGGATGAAAGGGAAACCAAATGAAAGGGGACAAACCGATGACAGCCCAAACCGCATTGAAAAACTGTTGCAACAGCCTGGTTTGCTTGTAAGTACGCCACGCGCGAGGTAGGAGAGGGGAGGGGAGGAGGAGAAAAGAAGGAGGGAGAGAAGGAAGTAAAGGTGTTCCCAGCTACGGCGCAAGCGTCCAAGGACACACCAAAAAGGAAGGGCTCCCAGCTATGACGAAGCATCCAGGGACACCCAAGGAAGAAGGTGAAGAGAGGAAAAAGAGAAGGAAAGAAAGAGAGAGGGAGAGAAAGGGAGAGGAGAGAAAAGAAAAAAAAGGCAGGTGCTCCCAGCTACGAACAGTCGTCCAGGGACGCACCAAAGAAAGAAAGGGAAATCCTGAGTATTCCATTCAGGAAAACCCCAAAAAGCAAGGAAAGAAAAGGGAGGGTAGGGGGAGGAGGGGGGCTAAGGCTCCAACAGACTCCAATGAGCCTTGAACAGACTTTGGTCGCTGCGACCACGTACGGCTTG